TTTGCTTTAGATGAGGGGTTGGAGGGTTTATTTGCATCATTTTTAGTTTAGGAGCTGGTCACTAACTGTTGAAAAAGTTGAGGGGCTTAAGAATGATTTTTGCCTAAACTTAATTCTCTTATTTTTACTAGAAAAACAACTAAATTACTTGTTAAGGAGAATTATCCAAGTGTAAACTCTCATTAATAAATAATTTTTTTTAATATTTAAATATTGAGTTTTTCTATTTTGTGTATTTAGGCACAAATTAAAATATAATAAATATATTTTTATAATTAATTTATATAAAAAATAATAAAAATTAAGTTAATTTTTATTTTTTATATAAATTAATAATAAAAAATATATATTTATTATACCATTAACTTGTTAATAATATAAATTATAAAAACCCTTAAATATTTAATCAATAAACTTGATAGCCTACTTAACTTCTCCACTTATTAAGTCGGTTGAGAATTTAGAAATTGCCCAAATTAAAATATTTCTATTAATTTATAATAGGGTACATCCCCCGCGTGATTAATTACTTATTTAATTATTTACAGTTGCACCATGAATGGGTAAACGAAGTTGGAGAGCTGACAATCTTCTAGGAAACAATTGTGCAGTGAGACCCACCGCATGTATATGCATTTACTCCTGCATCTCCCCTTCACCTGTATCCTAATTCATTCATTTACTCGGTAAATATATTACTCCCTCCTGTCTTTTTTTTTTAATAGTTATTTTAATCCTTAATTTTATAAACATTAATTTAATAATTATGTATAACAAATAAATAATAGTTAAATTTTTTTGATATAAATAAGAAGATTTAATAAAAACTGTCTATAAAAAATTAATTGTTATTTATTTATTATAAAAAAATTATTTAATTTAAACTTATTTAAAAATGAAATTAAGACAAATAAATCTAACCTGAAAAAGTATTTAATTATTTTTCTAATTAAGACACATCATAAATTGAATTCACTGCCTAGCTAGCTAACACTTTGAAGCTCTAAAACAAATCTGTTTTCCTTTTCTTTCTTTTTTTTCTTTTTTCTTTTTTCTTTTTTAATCTTGAACGAATCTAATTTCTCCTCAGTTTCGATCTTTAATAGTCATATGGAGAATAAGGAAAGAGGATTTATAAAATATTGTCTACTATGACCTGTAAGACTTATAAATTATAATTTTACCTTTGAAAGGGTCTTTTATAAATTTACTAATGCTTATGAGCCACGATTATTATAGATTTAATCTTTAACTTGAGATTTTAAGCACACTCTACTATTACACGTTTATATAATGCTAGGCACTCAATAAGAGAACAATCGTATTATTCTTGGTTCCTTTTAGTTGTCATGACAGATTTTTATATGATATTGTTTTATAATATATAAATTATAATTAAAAAAAGTTTTTTTAATATATAATACCTGTTAAATAATTTTATTTTTAAAAAATATTATTTATATTCTATTAAAAAATGTGTTACCAAAATTA